GTGGGCAACGAGCTTAAAGCCCCTGATGGCTCTGGGCGCTGACTCTCACCAGTGGCTATGGATGAAGTCACAGGAAATTTTCAGCCAGTGCCGCGAGCTCTTTCTTACATATATATATCTCCCCAACCCAATAAACAAACAAAACCCCACATTGCTGTTGGATTGATTCTTACTCATAGCAACCTCATAGGTAGGTCAGAATAGAACTACCCACAGAGTGCTTTAGGTTATAGTTACACTGGATATTTCCCCTTTTCTTTACCCACCACTCCTTCCATCCATCAAATTGTGTGACCCTATAATTCCTCTCCTCTATGCTCCCTCCTCCCTGCCTTGGATCTTCGTACATGTTCTACAGTAATGGTCTTACACAGTATTTGTCCTTATGACACTGAGTTAATTCACTTAGCATAATTCTCTCCAGTCCCTTCCAAGTTAGGGAGTAATTTACAAAAGCATTGCTCCTGTGTGCTGCATACTATTCCATTGTGTGAATATACCATAATTTCTCATTCCATTCCATTGTGGTTGGATGTTTGGGCTGTTTCCATGTTCTTGCAATGGTGAATAATGCTGCTAGGAACATTGGTAGGCCGTAGTCTTTATGAAGCAGATTGCCACACTTTTCTTCTTAGAGTAGCTGGTGAATTTGAATCTTTTCATTTCGCAGCCAGGTCTTTTACTACTGTGCTGCTAGGGTTTGATTTCTGCTGCTAAATAGCTTAAGAAAACTCCTCTTAATATGAAAATTTAAAGAGTGGCTTATTTACCTGGAAATACGTACTTAGAGTAAAACAATCTGACAAAATCTAAGGGACAGACTAGAAGAGACCTTTTGAATTCAGCATGGAGACATTGTCTCTTGCTCACAAAATAGATTTATTTTCTTTCCTGTTTCTTGTTCAGTCAACAATAATTTTTTTTAAAATTTTATTATTTTGTGTGCGTGTACCGTCAAATCAGATCTGACTGGTACAGGAGTATATTGCGCCGCCTCCTCCGGCAGAGCATCTGGTGGATTCGAACCGTGTTCCTCTGGGATTGCACTGCAGCTTCTTGCCACTAGGCCACCAGAGCTCCCCTAACAATAATTTTTGGCAGGAGAAAATACTGAAGAAAAATAGCTTGAGTAAACTATTTTGTTTAACTTTTTGAAGGATATTGAAGACTTAGATCACTATGAGATGAAGGAAGAAGAACCTTTTAATGGAAAACAGTCAGAGGATGAAGGAATTGAAAAAGAAAATTTGGCAATATTAGAAAAAATCAGGAATACTCAAAGGCAAGACCATCTAAATGTAAGTATGTGAATATCTAGAAGTGAAATTTCTGTGGTTAGGTGAGATAACCTATAAATATGATGCAGTTCATTAAGACACCTATTTCAGCTCCTCCCTCCATCCATGCCTTGGTTGTGAGTTTAACACATAGCCGCACACTTTTAAATTGACGACTGTGCTTAGAAACACATTTTTCTTTCTTCGATGTATTACCGTCATTTGCAGCAACGTGTGTTACCATATGTTTGTTAGCTGTAAAAAGAGCAAAGGCCATGTGAGGATGGCGATATCTAACTGTTAACAACTTCACAAAGGAGAACTGTCCTCATCAACAGCACAAAACCAATTTCCATGTGGTCATACATGTCCTCGCATGCTCCCCTACCTCTTTTTCTACTTATCTCAACACCAGTCTTACTGCTTAGCTGGGTCCAAAATTCGATACAGTAGCTCACAGGCCACACAGAGCCATGTTAGGGAAGTCAAAAAGTTATAGTCCAGGCAGGTAGCAGAATACCATCAGGGCAGCTCCTGAAACATGGTCGCAAGCATCTCAGCTTGGAATCTCACAGCTTTAGGCCAGTATTACAAAGTTCTCAGTCCTGCCAATATTGACCCCCCCACCCCCAGTTGTCCAGCAAACTTGGGGAAAGGCTCTTAGTTCTGGTTCCAATGGAGTAGCAGTCCAGAGGTCCATTCTCACGTCAGGTCTCTAGTTCAGCCATGGCTGCTGCTGCTGTAGATGTAGCTAGGGCAACAAGGGTGTGAGTAAGGCGTCTGGTCTTGAAAGGCATCCTGTATTCTCTTCTTTTTCACTGAGGCAGGGAAGATGTCATTCTCCTGCTGCTGGTTTGCTCAATTTAATACTAGCCATCTCCTTTTGAATAGGCTAACACATTCCATTTGTATAATCCCACCCATTTACATGGCAAAGTCAAACTATGGTTAGGAAAGTTACATTGAAAGATAAACTCCACAGTTGCTTTCGGTACCTTTCTCATCTGTTCAGACACTTTTTGCCCCATTCATCTGCTCTCACATCTGGAACTGGTACTGCCTATGTACAGCCCTTTTCTATCCTATTGATGCTATTTTCACTGATTATCTTCCTTCTGAGTGATCTGTATGTTCATACTGAATCAAAGTACAATTCAAAATTATTTTTTCCTTTATGAACTGAGCTGATTGATCTCTGATCTGTCTGATCCTGACCAAATGAAGTTAATTTTTCTCTTGAATTTCCTAATGCTTTTGCTTTGTTTTCAACATTATATCCTCTTTCATTCAGAGCAGCAAAGATGAGTGAAATGAACACTGGATTTGATGACAAACATGTTGACATGACAAATATGGCTTCAGTTTTCTCAACTCTAAAATACAGACAATGCATACCTTTTGGATTGCCATGAGGAATGAATGGGAATGACGTATAAAGTGCCACGACAGAGTAGGGGAGCATCAAGTGACAGTGGTGATTCTGTCCCAATACCGAGTATTCCTACCTGTATTTCAGGGCTCCTTGTAGACCCTATGAAATAGGAGCACTAGTTTCTTTGTCTTAAGCACAGGTTCTCAAATATGGGTAATGAATTGTTATGTAAGTGGATGCCAACTCTTGTAAACAAATGGATTAATCCATTTCTTTCAATCTCCTAATATTAATTTAACTGACAGATTTTTTATTATAAAGCTTAGGTTTTAATAAAAAAGCATTAAGTGTTTTGACTTATGGTAAATAGTTCTTAGTGTCTTAATATTAATGTCTTAATATGTTAGCACATTGTCATATTTAGAGTGATATCAACACTGAAAAGAACTGACATCAGTTTCATGCGGGTGGATAATGTTGTTTCTCATGTTGTTAACATGCAAAATAGACCTTTAGACTTTCAGTATAAGACTTTTTACTTTTAGCCTTACTAGTGATTAGTATGAATATTTTCAGAATTTGGTATAGCTAAGAGTAGACTGATACCATACTCTAGGTTAGTACAGGGTCCATGGTAGACTTTTTTTTCTTTGAACAATACATAGTTAATGAACCAGCCTTGTCCCCAATTTTATGTTACTCTCAAAACTTTATAACCCTTCATTTAATTAAGTTTAAGTTTTTTAACCCCTTAAAATGTTGAGTGGTGGTTCATTTTTATCCTAATTGTAAACTTGTGGGGGGAGGGAAGGAGCGTCCCTCTTCTTTCACTGTAAAATTTTATTTCAAGCACAAATACCTTAAATCTTTAATTCCTTAATAAATCTTGGTAAACAATAAGTTTTGTGTTTCAGGGCGCAGTGTCTGGGTCAGTACAAGCTTCTGATAGACTTATGAAAGAGCTCAGGGACATATATAGATCACAGAGTTATAAAACAGGTAAGGACCTTTGGATATCTGCTGTCTCCATTTCCTTAGACTATTTTATATTCTTTTCTAAAAATTTTATTATTTGTGTGTGTGTGTGCACCGTCAAATCAGTTCTGACTGGTACAGAAGGAAATTTTCCCTCCTTCCCTGGCAGAGTATCTGGTGGATTCAAACCTTGTGCCTCTGGGCTTGCAGTGCAGCTTCTTGCCACTAGGCTACCAGAACTCTCCTTATTTTATATTCTTATATAATAAACTTGTAACATTTCTTATAATCCAACCGCATGAGAGTGGAAATGTTAGATAACTTTATTTTAGGGAAGTGAAACTATAGTTTAAGTTGCCAGAAGGGTGTAGGGGATAAAATGAACGTACCTCATTGTTGTCTTTGTGGATAAAAAAATGAAATGTTTTATCTTATTTGTGATAGAGATCAAGCCATGTGATGTTTATCTTAATTGGAAAAGCACAAATACTATCTTTCTTAAACGTAAATATATTTTATTATTACAAAGAATTCTTATTAAGTTAATTTTTAAGATTGTTTTCCCCTTGTGTGAAAACAACATAACCAACACTTATTAGAGAAGCAATAACAATATTTTATGGTAAACAGAATATACCTCTATTGTCAAATATTTCATTTTACTTGGGTCCACAATCAATACCAGTGGAAGCAGTAGTCAAAATATGTATTTCACTGGGCACATCTGTTAAAAAAGATCACTTTAATAACTAAAAGCAAAAGATGTCACTGAGCTCTAAGGT